AGGGGCGTGGGAAGTGGTGGTGGGACGTGGGAGGTGGTGGTGGGACATAGGAGGCCATAATGGGATGTGTGATGTGGTAGTGGGATGTGGGAGGTGGTGGTGGGACGTGGGAAGAGGTGGTGGGACATAGGTGGCCATAATGGGATGTGTGAGGTGGTGGTGGGACATGGGAGGCCATAATGGGGCAGGTGAGGTGGTGGTGGGACTCATGAAGTCATGGTAGGACACATGAGGTCGTGGTGGGACTCATGAAGCCATAGTGGGACACGTGAGGCCATGGTGGGACACATGGTTCAGTGATGGACACGTGAGGCCATGGTGGGACACGTGGTTCAGTGATGGACCATGAGGTTGTGGTGGAACATACGAGGTTGTAGTGGGACTCATGAAGCCATGGTGGGACATGTGAGGCCATGGTGGAACACATGAGGTTGTGGTGGGACACATGAGGTTGTGGTGGGACACATGAGGCCATGGTGGGACTCATGAAGACATGATGGGACATGTGAGGCCATGGTGGGACTCATGAGGTTGTGGTGGGACTCATGAGGCCGTGGTGGGACTCATGAGGCCATGGTGGGACTCATGAGGTTGTGGTGGGACTCATGAGGCTGTGGTGGGACTCATGATGCCATGGTGGCACACGTGGTTCAGTGATGGACACATGAGGCCATGGTGGGACTTGTGAGGTTGTGGTGGGACACGTGAGGTTGTGGTGGAACACGTGAGGCCATGGTGGGACTGATGAGGTTGTAGTGGGACTGATGAGGTTGTGGTGGGACTCATGAGGTTGTGGTGGGACTCATGAAGCCATGATGGGACACGTGAGGCCATGATGGAACACATGGTTCAGTGATGGACCGTGAGGTTGTGGTGGAACATATGAGGTTGTGGTGGGACTCATGAAGCCATGGTGGGACATGTGAGGCCATGGTGGAACACATGAGGTTGTGGTGGGACTCATGAAGCCATGGTGGGACATGTGAGGCCATGGTGGGACATGTGAGGCCATGGTGGAACACATGAGGTTATGGTGGGACTCATGAAGCCATGATGGGACACGTGAGGCCATGGTGGGACACATGGTTCAGTGATGGACACGTGAGGCCATGGTGGGACATGTGGTTCAGTGATGGACCGTGAGGTTGTGGTGGAACATATGAGGTTGTGGTGGGACTCATGAAGCCATAGTGGGACACGTGAGGCCATGGTGGAACACGTGGTTCAGTGATGGACACATGAGGTTGTGGTGGAACACATGAGGTTGTGGTGGGACACGTGAGGCCATGGTGGGACACGTGAGGTTGTGGTGGGACTCATGAAGCCATGGTGGAACACGTGAGGCCATGGTGGAACACGTGTTTCATTGATGGACCATGAGGTTGTGGTGGAACATATGAGGTTGTAGTGGGACTCATGAAGCCATGGTAGGACATGTGAGGCCATGGTGGGACACGTGGTTCAGTGATGGACACATGAGGTCGTGGTGGGACTCGTGAAGACACGATGGGACTCGTGAAGACATATTGGGACATGTGAGGTTGTGGTGGGACACGTGAGGTTGTGGTGGGACATGTGAGGTTGTGGTGGGACTCACGAAGCTGTAGTGGGACACATGAAGCCATGGTGGGACATGTGAGGCCATGGTGGAACACATGAGGTTGTGGTGGGACACATGAGGCCATGGTGGGACTCACGAAGACATGATGGGACATGTGAGGCCATGGTGGGACTCATGAAGCCATGGTGGGACTCATGAAGCCATGGTGGGACATGAGGTTGTGGTGGGACTCATGAGGTTGTGGTGGGACTCATGAGGCCGTGTTGGGACTCATGAAGCTGTAGTGGGACACATGAAGCCATGGTGGAACACGTGAGGCCATGGTGGAACACATGAGGTTGTGGTGGGACTCATGATGCCATGGTGGGACACGTGGTTCAGTGATGGACACATGAGGTTGTGGTGGGACTCGTGAGGTGGTGGTGGGACTGATGAGGTTGTGGTGGGACTCGTGAGGTGGTGGTGGGACTGATGAGGTTGTGGTGGGACTCATGAGGTTGTGGTGGGACTCATGAAGCCATGATGGGACACGTGAGGCCATGGTGGGACACATGGTTCAGTGATGGACATGTGAGGTTGTGGTGGGACTCATGAAGCCATGGTGGGACTCATGAAGACATGGTGGGACTCATGAAGCCATGGTAGGACATGTGAGGCCATGGTGGGACATGTGGTTCAGTGATGGACACACGAGGCCATGGTGGGACACGTGGTTCAGTGATGGACACGCGAGGCCCCATCAGGCTGTGCTGGTCCATACTGGTCCATACTGGGCCGGCCTGGAGCTCGGCAGGGCGTCAGCAGCATCGTGTCACCTCGCAGGGGAGAACAAAGAGGAGGACAGCAGCGTCATCCACTACGACAACGACGCCATCGCCAGGCTGCTGGACCGGAACCAGGACGCCACCGACGACGCTGATGTGCAGAACATGAATGAGTACCTGAGCTCCTTCAAGGTGGCCCAATACGTCGTGAGGGAGGAGGACAAGGTGTGCC